GAGGTTACAAAGCATCAACTTGTCTCGAAGTAACAGGAACCGAGATGAAGTTAAACCTTTGGTGAAGATATCAGCCGGTTGGGCAGCTGTAGAACTATATCTGGCTTGGATATCTTTATTGAAGATCTTTTCTCGAATGAAGTGGTAATCTACTTCAATGTGTTTAGTACGAGCATGAAAGACTGGATTAGAAGAAAGAGCTAGAGCTCCAACATTGTCCACCCATAAACAGGGAGCAGCCGTGAGTGGTATGTGGAGTTCTTGCAAAAGCATTCTGATCCAGTAAAGTTCAGCTACTGCGAAAGCCATAGATTTGTACTCCGCTTCAGTACTTGAACGAGCTACAACTGTTTATTTCTTAGCTTACCAGGAGATAAGACATGGGCCAAGATATATACAATAGCCCGAGGTTGACTTCCTATCGTCTGGAGAACCTGGCCAATATGAATCACAAAAGCCATTAAGGTGAAGTGTGCCCTTACCAAAATTGAGTCCAAAGTGTAAGGTACCCTTTATGTATCTCAAGACTGATTTAGCTGCCACCAAGTGATCAGTGGTTGTACAATGGAGAAATTGAGAAAGTTGATTCACACTATATGAGATATCAGGCCTGGCGAGTGTAAGATATTATAAAGAGCCCACCAGGGTTCTATATTCAACTGGATCAGTGAGAGGGTCCCCTGAAAATTTTGAGAGTTTAGCTCCAGAGATGCAAGGTGTGGATACTGGTTTAGCTCAAGCCATTTCGGTGCAATGTAATAAGTCCATTGCATATTTTCCTTGGCTGATATGGAGCCCTTCTAACGTGTTTGTGACCTAAATACTAAGGAAATAAGATAGAGGCCCGAGATCCTTTACAACAAAATCAGTACCAAGATGATTGATGAGGTAATCAATTGGAGAGGAAGAGTTGCTTGCAACTATGATATCATCAACATAGATGAGCACAAAAATAGAAATGTTGTTATGGTGAAATGTGAAAAGTGATGAATCAACTTTTGAGCAATTGAACCCGAGAGCAAGTAATACTTGGGACAATCTCAAGAACCAAGTTCGAGGAGCTTGTTTCAATCCATAGATGGACTTGTGTAACCTGCACACATGATTAGGAAAATGGGGATCTTCAAATCCTTTAGGTTGCTCCATATACACTTCTTCTTCAAGAAAACCATGCAAAAAAGTATTAGAGATATCAATTTGTCTAATAAACCAGTTGTGATGAACAGCTAGTGCCAACTCTAATCTAATTGTTGCCGGTTTAATGACGTGACTAAAAGTCTCAGTAAAGTCCACCCCATGAATTTGATCAAAGCCTTTTGCCACTAATCTGGCCTTGTATCGATCAATACTTCTATCTGATTTTTGTTTCAGTTTAAACACCCACTTATTTCTTACAACCTTCTTATGCAAAGGTCGATGACATAAAGTCCAAGTTTGATTGGCTAGTAAAGCATGGTATTCAGCTTGCATAGTATCAAATCATTGCTGGTCTTTCACTACTTCTTTATAGGTTTTAGGTTCAAGAGGTAATGCAATGGCAGAAAGGGCTTGTAATGGATATTTGGTAGAGTAGTAGAGTTGGTAATCTGGAAACTATTTTGGTTTAGAGGAGTTGGTTTTGGAATGGGTAATAATTTGATTTGAACAGAGTTCAGGTATAAATATGGTGGTGGATGTATTTGAAGTAGGAGATAAAGGTGGTTAATTACTAGGAAAAAGGTTTAGACGGTGTTTCAGGAATAGTTGGAGTAGGAATGGGTGTATCAGTCAAGGAAAGTGGGCATGAGGGAGAGGCAACATGCTCAGGTAATGCTGATATAGGAGACTCTGAAGTGGATAAAATGGGAGGTGCATAATGAGTAAATGAAGGAACTGAACTAGATGGTATGGGATTAGAAGATGAACCTGACTGGGAAAGACTGCCAGACGAGTGAAAATTTTCCTGCAAGGTAGAGGAAGCAGTAGCTTGATCCTATGTAGCAAAAGCAGGGAAACTCAATTCATCAAATATAACATGCCTAGAAATGTAAACCTTCTTTGTGTTTAAGTCCAAACAACGATAACCCTTTTGATTTAAGTTGTACCCGAGAAAGACACACTTGGTGCTCCTAAAGATTAACTTGTGGGCATTATATGGTCTGAGTAGAGGATAACAGGCACAACCAAAAGTTTTGAGGAATGAGTAATCTGGTTGTTTGTTAAACAAAGTGAAGAATGGAGATTGATTGCTTAGGACTGGTGTAGGAAGTCTATTGATGGCATAGACTGATGTGAGGAAATCATCAACCCAGTAACAAGATGGAAGCTGTAACTGAGCCAAAAGAGAGAGGTCTGTTTCAGTTATATGTCTGTGTTTTCTTTCTGAAATTCCATTTTGCTCAGATGTGTGAGGGCATGTTAGCTTATGGAGGATACCATTGGATGAGAGGAAGTTTTGGAAAGCAGTGGAAAGGTATTCCCCACCATTATCAGTGAGTAATTGTTTGATATTTCGAGAGAACTGATTTTCAACTAATTGTTTAAACTTGATGAAACAAGGAAATACATCAGATTTATACTTTAAGGGAAACAACCATGTAAATCTCGAAAAATCATCAATAAATAAAACATAGAGTTTACATCCACTGACTGAAGAAATAGGAGAAATCCAAACATCTGAGTGTATTAACTCAAGTGGATGTTTGGATCTGTTATTGGACTCAAGAAAAGATAGTTTGTGACTCTTAGCAACTTGACATGACTCACAAATATTATTGTGCTTTACAGGACCAGAAATAGGAAGCACAGCTTCTCTAACAACCCTAGAAACTATGGACTCAAAGGCATGAGTAAGTTTGGAATGCCAGATATGAATGTGAGCTTTGACACCTTGTAATGCAGTGAAGGATGAAATGTGAGCAGCTTTTGGGTTTGATGTGTTGAGCTTCATCTGCTTGAGATACAGAAGATATAAGCCAGCTTCACTCTGCCCTTGGAGGAGGATTTTCTTGGTCTGTAGGTCTTTAACAAAGAAATGAGAAGCTGTTAGAACAAAATAGCAGCTGTTGTCACTACAAAATTTTTGTATGGATAACAGATTTGAAGATGCATGAGGAAAGTGTAAGATATTATGTAAAAGAAAATTGTTTTTAGAGTTTAGAAGCATAGAAGAACCAATATTGGTAATGAGCAAGCCTCCTCCATTCCCTACTGTGACCTTGTCATTGCCTTGATAAGGCTGCTGTTATAAGGTCAGATTCGCCAACTCAGAGGTGATATGATTGTTTGCCCCACTGTCAAGGTACAATGGTTGTTCAACTTCATGTGTGCCATGAGTATGTGCTGCCATAGCTGCTAACTGAGCTGGTGGATGTCGACCTTGGTAAGTAAAGTCTATTCTATGATAGAAATCTAATGCTTGATGGTTGGTCTTTCCACAGATTTGACATGGTAGGAATTTATGGGAAGGGAAAGGACTGCCAGAGGATTGAGGTTTGGGAGAATTTTGGTTAGAGTTGGAGTTAGGAATGGGTCGAGAATATGAGGAAGGCTTGGCTTGCTGGTTGAAAAATTTTGGTTTTTTGCCATATGGAACCTTTGGTTTGTTTGTGAAGAAGGCAAATTGAGTGCCATCACTGGGAAGTGTTTTGGTCTGAGAGTCAAGCAGTTGTTTAAAGTTGAGTAATTCAGTTTGGAAATCATCAAAAGAGATGGATTTGTCTCTGGTTGTAAAATGAAGTGAGGTGATAAAGGGATTATAGGTAGAGTTGAGACCACCAATGACATAGGAAATTAAGTCTTTCTCATCAGCAGGTTTACTTGCTGCTGTAAGCTGGTCAGACCAGTTTTTGGCTAGAAGAAAATAGTCAATACAGGATCTAGTGCCCTGCTGCAAAGTTTGGAGTTGTTTTTGAGGTGAGAAATGCGAGATCGAGATTGAGGAGCAAATCTGGTGGCTAAAGTGGTCTACACCATCTTAGAGGTTGTAAGTCCATAAACTGTGGACAAGATTTTCTCACTGAGAGTGGCGTTTAACCATGCCAAAATAAATTGATCTTTCTTCTGCCAAACCAAATAATCTGGATTTAGATCAGAAGTAGATTTCCCGGTGGAATCAACAAGATATTGAATAGGGCATACCTCACACCCATCAACAATGCCTAGTAAGTCATGGCTTCTAAGCACGGGAGTGAATTGAGTGATCCAATTAAAGTAATTTGTTCCATCGAGTTTGACATAAGCCAGTGAAGTAATATTTGGAATAACAAAGGATGAAGCAGAAGTGGAATTAGATGAGGCCATATGGATCGATTTTGCATGAGCAATAAATTGCTCTGATACCAAGTCAGAATAAGAAAGGAAGTCTGGTTTTCTTAATACCAGATCTCTCGTGTGTATTGATATATATATAGAGTTATACAAGGTATTTGAATTACATCAACAGATAAGTTTAAGAATTCAAAAATCTAGCTAAGAATCTAAACAGAAGTTTAAATATCTAAATAGAACTTTAAATGAGTAATAGAAATTTAAACTACATAATATAAGTGAATCAGCTTGCCTATTCTTCTGGATCTGGTGGAACAGAAATCTTGGAACAGCTATCTCTAACAGTTTCAACGTGCGGTGACATCTAGATGGATGAGATTCTATCGAGAGCAAGTACAACCTACAATTTGGAATAATCTATCTACTATACATAGTGTGAGCAAACACTAAAAATATTGTTACTATCCATGTCAAATGGGAAGAAGCAACAAGGAAGCCACGTCAGCAGGTGGAGGTCCAATATGAAGCCACGTCATTCTACAAGTAGAAATTTTCAAACCACACGAATGCTTCTTTCCAAAACGTAATTCCATTTTTTTGACTAACCAATTAAAATATCCGGTTTATTATTTGTATATATACGAACTGCCATTTGCCTTATTGTTAAGCATTTGAAAATCATATTCTCTCTCTCTTTCGCTCCCTTCTCTCTTCTTTCTCCATCACCTCCGCCATCGCCACCGTGCCGGAAAATGAGTAGTTTGAGCATGGTAGAGGCAAAGCTGCCGCCGGGGTTTAGGTTTCAGCCAAGAGATGAAGAATTGATATGTGATTACTTAATGAAATGGATAATCGGCTGTGGCCACCAGAACCACCCTCTGTTAATTGAAGTTGACCTCAATAAGTGCGAGCCTTGGGACGTTCCCGGTGAGTCCTCAGATTTTCTTATATGGCACTCATTTTTTATAACTTGTTTTTCCACAAATTCATTTTTAATACGCATTTTACGAATCCCACAATTTTTATCAATTTTTCAATCTTATAATTAATCATTTTTTATCAAAATTTATTAAAAATCTGATTCATAACCAAACCAAACGGGGACATAATTTGCTTCATATTTTTTAAAACTTATTTCTTGCTTTATATTTTCTAATATGCTTTCGAGTTCATTTTAATGTTTATGTGTCTTATGTGTTAGTAAATTAATCATAATAATTAAATTATAAGTAAAGAATTATGAATTTCGAAGAAAGATACTTTGATTTTTTGCATGTGGATGACTTTTAGCCCCTCTTTAGTCTCATTATTTGAAATTTTAATGGTTGAAATAGTATTTTCTGAAAAGCGTGTAGCTAGAAGGGAATTTTTTTCGATAACATATAATATTATTTTATTGAAAAACTTATAATTGGTAAAGAGAGAAAAATAAATAAATTATAATTTTAATGGACCTTTTGCGAATATATTTTGTTCTCCCCAAGATGGATTCTACCATAGCCATACAAAAGGAATATCGTATTCGTATGCTTTGTAAAAATTTACGCATTATCAAAAGAGGACTTAAAAGACTTAAAACACATACACGGTTAACCGACTCTATCAAGATTATGCACGTGTTAAACTTTGAATGAAAAATTAAAGATCTGTTTGACGGGATTTTTGCATATGAAAAAGAGAGACTAGCTTCCTCTAAAGGTTTTTTAGTTAGACAATGTATTGTCAGAGAATTATTTAAATATGTATAAAATTAACTTCTCGATCTTAGAAACCGTATAAAACTTTTTAAAAGTCATACCAAACAGGTCCTAAATTTCAGTACAATTGTATGAATAGTGTGTATATTTCAAATGATTATTCTTCTTGTACATTGGGGTGTACATAAGGGTGTCCATAATGGACACCCGGCACCCCCTATTGGATGGAGTGTCGGCCCCACTGGTACTACATCCAATAAGGAGATGTCGAGTGTCCATTATGAACACCCTTATTTACACCTTTATGTACTTGTAACAAAGCCCTATTTCAAATTTCTCGTTCAAACACCTTTTTGTAGAAATTGACACTCTTGGGCATTATCCTAACCAAAGGATGGTGACAGTGATTTCAAGATAACAAAGCGAATTTCAAGTCAAGTCGTGTCTGCACCTAATCTCAACCACACGCGTGTACACTTTGCAAGTCAATCTAGTGGACACGAACCTTGCAAATTTTCACCTTATTCTTTGTGAATAATTCTTGCTTTATTTATGAATTGAAGATTTAGACACCGTAATTATTGGAGTTAAGATTATCTATCAATAGGGGGGCTCGGGCCCACGTGTTTGTTGTCTACAAGTCTTTATCTTGATATGTTTATAATTTTCATAAATGAGTAGCAGTAACCGTCGAACTCATGACATCAACCTAGTTCAAAGGAACGACTTTATATATTACAAACAATATTGATTTAATACTTCATTAAATTGATAAATACGACAATTTTTATGGATGCAGAATCAGCATGTGTAGGAGGTAAGGAGTGGTATTTTTACAGCCAACGCGATCGTAAATATGCAACAGGATTAAGAACAAATCGAGCGACACAAACGGGTTACTGGAAGGCCACCGGAAAAGATAGACCGATTCTTCGTAAGGAAACCCTAATAGGAATGAGAAAGACATTGGTCTTTTACAAGGGCAGGGCTCCTAAAGGAAGAAAAACCGATTGGGTCATGCATGAATTTCGCCTTGAAGGACCCTTTGGCTCTCCTAAACCATCATCTGTCAAGGTAATCAAGTTACTCGCTCTATCGTTTAATTAGATTTTTAGTCCATGTTTGGCGTAGTTGGAAATCAGATTTTAGTAAATTTTAATAAAACTTAATGAATCACGTGGTTGAAAAACTGTTAAAATTTTTGGATCTCATAAAATGTATGGTTAAAATTAATTAATGATTTTAACTTATTTTTACGAACTTTTTTGAAAAGTTGTTAATTATGGCTATCTTATTTTTAGTCAATGTCAGCTTCGTTAATGACAAACAAGTTGATTAATTATATTCATTGCATATGCAACTTGTCAAAAAACTTTTTGTCTTTTCTGGGATTTTGTCTTTTTTCTTTTTTTAATTCTTTGATTTTATTTTTATTTTTCTTTTTGCCTTAAATAATCTATTTTGTCTTTTCTTCCTCCATGGTGTTTAGCTGGCACCATATACTAAAACCAAAATAGAATCTTCTTACGTCAAGAAAACAACACTTGGTCCCCCTTTAATTTAACTAAAAAAGTTAATAAAATTTTAAGTTAAAGTCAAAAATTAATTTTAACGACGGATTCACAATTTTTATCAATATTTCAACTATAAAATTCATCAATTTTAATTAATACGATCAATTAAATAAACTTAAAACTTACCTTGTTGAGAGACAGAGTACAATGAAATGTTAAATAGCTATTCCTCATCACCATTTGTCGACTCCAGGGACGGATACGGGGGGCAACTAAATTTTTTTTAGTTAGAAAAAATAAATTTTATGTAAAAAAAAAAAATTATATGTAATTTTTTTTTTTCACGTTTTCGGTCTGTAATCCGGTCTTGGATCCGTCCCTGGTCGACTCTCTCTGACACTCTTTACGGTTTTTCACTTGGTATATGAATTTTAATTGCATGGAAAATTATACTTGGATGCAGGAGGATTGGGTTTTATGCAGATTGTTCTACAAAAAAGGAGAAGTTGAAGCCAGACCAGAAACAGGAAGCAGCCACGAAGAAGAAATCACCACTTCTCCTACTTCTCTTCCTCCATTAATGAAACCCTGTCTCACCTTTGACCCAAATCAGGCCACAACAGACAAGTATAATAATGAGCAAGTGCCCTGCTTCTCCATTTCGAACAATAATTTCTCACAAATCACAGAACCATCCGACGAATTCATGCCCACGTTTGGAGGGTTGCCTGCAGATCATAATCTTGGAATGTGTTCATCATCATCAAACTCTGATCAGACGGCGATCAAAGCTCTATTCTATCAATTTACCGAAATGGACGGAAGCAATTGCTCCCCAAGTTTTGGGGATGGAAGTTCAGACAGTTATCTGTCTAAACTGGGATTGCAGTGGAACCATTATCGATATGATTTTTAAGGTTTGATTTTTTGCCCACATGCTATATAGATATTGGACTAGGTTGTACATATTGTTCCACGATGATAGTTATTTTGTCTCCTAAGATGTTTTCAGGATTGTGTGCATTAAAGTTGGTTTAATTCTTAAACTGTATGTTCATACAAGTTCATACATCAAGATGGTCATTAAATTTCGTTTTGTTTCAAGTTGATTATTGACCTATGATTTTGTCTGATTAAAAGAAAATTTAGCGCTTGTTCGGTAGAGATTAAAATCAGATTTGTAATATATTTTGATAGAATTTGATAAAATGTGTAATTAAAAAGTTATGGGTCTTATGAAATGTGTAGTTAAATTAATTGTCAAATTTAATTTAAATTTAAATTTTGATTTTAAGTTCTACCAAACAAGGCTTAGCATATCTAGTTATTTGCAAATTAGAGCGCCTCGTATTTTTTCTCCTCTAGCTAAACAAACATATCTTGTTTTGCTCTATTTATAATCACATACCTACTTTTAAGTAACAACTCATTTTGCGTGATTAACAAATACAGCTCATTTATTTATCGCTCATTTTATTTATTTATAATTAAATTGATTATAATCACTTCCCAAACTTGCACTAACAAACTTCAAAAGTTAATTACTACCTTCAACGAAGGCTTAAATTTAGCCTCCTCTTGACACCCATTAATTTCTCATTCTCATTCTTCATTTCAACCACATATTTTCTAAATAAAATAATATTACACACAAATCAAAAACTTTTCATCACTTTTCCACCACACATTCTCACATCAATCACTATTCCAAAATTTCTATTCTCTTCAAAAATAGATCCAAACGCTTAATTTTTCATTCTCATTTTCATTCTTCATTTCAACCACACATTCTCCAAATAAAATAATATTACACACAAATCAAAAACTTTTCATCACTTTTCCACCACACATTCTCACATCAATCACTATTCCAAAATTTCTATTCTCTTCAAAAATAGATCCAAACGCAAGCTTAATGTCGAGTTTAAAATAAAATTAAGTTTGAAGACTTCACATAAAATTTACTGTTGTATGGTTTAGCTAAAGTAGTTGATGACATACTGGAAGGTGCAACTGGATCTTCTTTTCAAGGAGCAAGTTAGTGATGCTTTCTGCTAGTAGGCTTTCGCCATCTACGGTGCAGCATTAGTGTTGCTTTGCCTAGTAGCACGACGCTTGTGTTACTCTTCTCCCAATGTTGCTTTGGCCAAGTGACACGTTAGGTCTAGGGCCAAAGCCATAGCAAAAAGCGAGTCTTCCTAAGACAATTATCACTGCTCATGGACTCGAACCGGGTTATCTATCTACACTGCCAAGGCCATCCACATGGGTCGTGGCAATGACAGGCCCTAGCAAAGTTGATAAGCCCTTTTATCTTAATCAAACTAAAAATTCAATGACCCATATCAAAGGTCAACTACCTTCCTACCTCCGTGATGCAATTGTCATGGTGACGATATAACTGAACCACCAAGTAACTACAAGAAAAGGCTATGTAACCAAACCAAAAATTCAATGATCCCTATCAAAGGTCAACTACCCGTCTACCTCCGTGGCTCCATGCCAATGTCACGGTGGCAATAGAACTGAACCGCCAGGTAACTAAAAGAGGAGTCGACGTAGACAAACTCAAATGAAGTTGGAATTAGTCATACCTTAAAACTTCCATTAACCGGTAATTTTATTCATTTTTGAAGTGACGAGATATGCGTGTTAGACATCAAATCAACTAAATGATATAATTAAGACAACATTTGCACGAAAAGATTTAAGAAAATAATAATTTTATGTCCCCAATTGGTCCATCAACCTCTCTTTTAGGAATTATAATTTATAGTATAAACATTCACTTTCCTTAATGTCAAAAGGATGAAATCAGCTGACCGCGTTTGCTTAATGATATTGCAATTATACAGTTCTAATTTCCAAACATAAAAAACCAAGAAACTTTTCATTAATTAACATTTTGACTATCAATTTCAACTTTACGAAAAATAATTAAAATAAGTAATAAAGAACTTAATTATATTAAAAAAAATCACTAAATCATTCGCGTAGCACTCATTATAATCGAATTAAATGGCGGCTAGTGGATATTTAGGTCAACCTAACAATAAAGCCCTTAATATAATTCTTGATGTTGGCTATTATATTAAGAAACTAAATATAATCATAAAAGTATTAGATTTAGGTTGATTTTGGAGCCCACAAGTGTAATTAGAAGCAAAAAATAAGGGGTGCAAAGGTATTCTTGAAAGGAACTTATGACCAAACTCCCCCACAATAATAGGGATGGGAACAACGTTTTCCCCTAAAGCAGTTTGACGAAAACTATTACGCACTTATTCACCACTTATTTCCAAATATTATTATCCAAATAAGCACATTTTGGTGGGATTTAGGAAATGGTGACATTCAAACTCGAAATGCATCAATATATTTTGCAAGTTCTTAAAGAAAGGCATTAGATAGAATAGATTCGTATCTTCCAAAAGTATTCGGCATAGTTAGTCCAAAAGCTAAATTAGGAGCGAAACGAAAAATGAATTATAGCATGAGTTAAAATATCGAGTTGAATTGAATATAAAGAAAAAAATTGGACTAATGTTATCCATGTCGATTATAATAATGGAAGCAATTGACAAAATATGAGTGACACATTGTGCTACACGCGCAAATGTAAACGTAACATAGTGTAACACTTTTGTTATAAAAAAGTGAAAGAATGGTTAAAAAAACATAATGTATATATAAAAAGTCATAATGATTTTGGTAATAACAAAAATATGACATAGATTTATACCCTGCGCTTTGAAAGATATACCCTTTCAAGCTTCCAGCCTACATATAAAGTGAGTGAATGCCATTCTGGGCATAGATTAGTATTGCAAAAGACATGAGTGAAGTAGTCTCAGTTGAACTGACAGCCACATTATGATGGTTCGATTTTTACCTCTTACAAGGTATGAAATTGGATTATTTGTGGACACCAGTATGGCAGCTCTGTACCTTAGCCTACTGAGGCACATTCCGTGATTTACCTCCTCTACGATATTCTAGGGAAGCTGGGTTGCTCCTTATTTGGTCTTGAGCTCATTGTTCGCAACCTGGGCTCTTAAGTGGATTTTGGGCCTGTCTCTGGGCTTTATTTGGACCAAATTCATAAAAGTGGAAATTACACCCTTCCTTACATTTGGAGATTCAAATTCTAAAATCAAATTTAGTGTTTTAAGTTTCAAAAATCAGATATTTAAATGTGTAGATACAGATTTTTTATATTTAATTAAATATTATGAAAATTAAATTATATACCCCACCTACCCCTAAAATTATCAAACCTAGTTCTCTCACGCCGCTCTCTCCACGCTGCTCTCTCTCTGCCCGTCTCTCATTTCTGTCTCTCCGTAGCGGCGCCGGTGGTGCTGACCTTCTCTCTCCTCCTCCTCCTCTCCTCTCCTCTCCTCCCCCTCCCTCCCGTCTCCACCCTGATTCACGTCGTGCGATGCTGCCCTAATTCGCAGCAGCGTCGCGCAGCGGGGCTGCTGTGATTGGACGCTGCTGCTAATTTGCAGCAGCAAATCGCAGCAGCTATTGCGATTCAACGCTGCTGCTAATTTGCAGCAGCGAATCTCAACAGCAACTGCGATTCAGCGGCGGTGAGCAACACTGCTCAATTCGCAGCTGTGGTTTGTGTTCTTTGCTGTGGTGGTGCGACGGCGACGAAGAGGGTTTATTAGATTTAGTGGTGGTAGTGGCGGCGGTTCAGTGGTGTTGCGTTGGTGGGTTTGCTGGTGGCGTTGGGTTGTCTTCTAAAGGCGTTGGGTGGTTTTGGATTTGGATTTGCTGGTGGCGTTGGGTGGTCTTCTAAAGGCGTTGGTGGGTTTGGTGGTGGCGTTGGGTTGTCTTCCAAAGGCAGTTGCGGCGGGTCAATGGTGTTCGATGTATCTGGAATTTTTAGGCTGTTTTTATTGGTGGTGGTTGGTGTTATGTAAACGGTGGTGGTTGGCGTTAGGGCATGTAAGACGGTGGTGGTGGTGGTGGTCAAATGGTGCTGTATAGTCTTTGTGACCTATGCTGTGACCTGAGCCATGTGATGTGACCTATGCTGTGACCTGAGCCATGTGCTGTGATCGATGCTGTGACTATCAATTAAAACCTGAGCCATGCACAAAAATATTCTGTGACCTGTGCTGTGGCCATTTGAAATAAACCTGTGACCATCAACCAGAATTTGAGTCATTTGAAAATAACATGGGACTATGAACAAAATCGTGAGTCGTGTGCAATATATTTTGTGACATGTGATGTGACCATTTGAAAATAACCCGTGAATATTAAAAAAAATGTTATCAATCATTATAAACAAACAAACATGCGTTGTGACCTGGGCTGTGACCTGAGCTGTGACCTGTGACCTGAGCTGTGACTTGTGACCTGGACTGTGACCATACAACAGATAAGCAGTCGTCGAAACGGTCGCCGGAGTAGTCACCGGAATGGTCGCCGAAACGATCGCCAGAACAGTTGCCAGAGCCGGAGAGGTCGCCGGAGCGATAGGGGTGGTGGAGGTGGCGGTGGGTTAATTTTATATATATATATATTTATTTATTTATTTATTTATTTAAATAAATATTTATATATGTGTGTATGCATAGGTCAAATTTTTTATTTTTAAAATGTGAAAATTATTTTATTATTTTTGAAATAGGATAAAGTTAAAGTAGGAAAACTGAATTTTTCCCTTCATAAAATATTGTTGGGAAAATTTGATTTTGAAAAAAAAAAATGTAACAGAACAGGAGAAACAGAGACTATGACTTCGGCGCCACTGATTTTTCTCTACCTACCCCAGCCACATGTCAAATGTCGCCGCCATTTTTCTTATACAAATTTTCTCTGGCAGTGGCTGGCATTTGAATTTTATTATTACCCAAAGATTACTTAAAAGATAAAAACCCATGATTTTTAAATGTGAAA